TTATTGCAACTTACATAGTAAATACGTAAAGTACAGGTGTTCAGAAAAAAGTATTTTAATATGTTTTACTATTTGATTGACATAAATCACCAATACTTTTGGCAAGTGGGTGTATATCCATTACTACTGATATATCTATTTCAGAAAAAGCAAAGTTTCAATGCTCTGTAATGAGATTTGTGAAGAGAATTCTTGCATTAATATAGTTGAGAAATCCGTGACAAATTTGTCACAATTGCCTTCTATAATATTAACACAAAATCAATCAAATAATTCAAGCAATTCTCAAACATTGTCGAAGTCAAGAAAGAGTTACCTGAATCCTTAATTTCTTTATCTTCAGAATATCTTATCAAAAATGAATCTGATATTGATACTCTTATCTTTTATTTACAAGAAAAATTCCAAATGTCGAAAGAAAAATTGGAACAATGGCGAACCAAGATTGCCTTTGAATTGCAGGATAATCAAAATTACTGGAAAAAAGAGCGCGAGAGCATGGATGAGGTCGCTTTCTTGAAATATAAACGAAATTTCGAGGCTAAAATGAAAGTTCCTACTACTCCGCACAAAAAAGAGCTGAAAAGTAAATATTTGGCTCTTATCGAATATATATAACCTAGCTAAATAGTAATCTCCGGTGCAGAGAGATTGTTATATTTAGCTAGCTATACATTTAGGTAAGGGGTTTTTGTCATCTCTTACAATGAGTATACAGAAAATTTAAATCAAAATTTAATATTATAATATCTAAATTATATAAAGGAGTTTTTGTGCCGTAGAATTTTGATCAAAATAAAGTTCTGGGTAAGGACCGTGCGGTCTCGGAAATCCGATGTATAGGATAAAGTAAGTAGTCGTTACAAAATATACGAGATATTTGATGACCATTTTTGTGTTGCATAATTTTGATCGAGATATAGTTTCGGATAAGTAATCGCATTGTAAAATATGTGTCAAAGACACTAGCTTTGCTATAATATAAGGTAAAAGGGGGTAATTTGGCGAATAGGGGTAATTTGGCGAATTACAGAATTATTATAATGGAATCGATTA